CCCCAACTCCAAAACCCCAAAACCCCAAAACCCCAAAACCCCTGGAAATTAAGGCACATTGGATTTAATCTGAATATTCAAATATAGAAATTAGTCTATTAAGTCCTGACGAAACTGCTAAGCAAACGTATTTAAGATGATCTATCTCACTTAGCAAAGAAGGGAGTCATGATTGCCCAAATAAAACATTTAGTAGCATAAAAAGGGGATAGTCTGAAGAATTTTAGCTTCTTTATGAAGTTTAATCACAATACTTGATCACCAGTCTTGGTAGCATAATTACTAAATTACTTCTATAATCTACAAGAAATATTAATAGTAAACTCTTGGAAATACCTTCTTTAATTTCTTCATTATTAAGTGCCGTTCTTACATCAATAGCTGGTCTGACTGATCATCTTGGCCTCGTCTCTTGAAGCAATCGTACGAATGAACTTAAATGTAGTAAAGTAGCATAGATGCTAGACTGCATTCTGAGTTATAGTCTTTAATTTCTGGCAATTCTATTAAAGAGCGTCACCTTCATTTTTATTGCAGTATTTATGCATAAGGTTCTATTAGCAGATTAATAATGAGTTTTAAATTGATGTACCACTAGAGTTTACTAGTAGCTAAGTTGAACGCATTTGTAAGACCTCGACTCCATTATCTCCATTATAGATCTTGACTAATTTTTCAGTAAATTCATCGATCAAAATTAGTATTTTTCTTATTTAATTGTTAATATTGTCAGTATCAAGGTAGCCTATTAAGGTCCTAAAAGGGTTAGAAACTTAGCTAATTTAAACTAGCCCAAGCTCTATGAACTTGTTTACAATGGCAGGATAGATGATTTATTATAGGAAAGATTACTAAAGAGTTTAATAAGACCAATAATTTATGATTATTATCAGGAACTGAAATCAAGTGATTCATCATGGGGTTTAGCTTATTGGTAAAATTCCCAGAGAGCTTTTAAAGCCGTTTCTCATTAGTTTAATAACTGAATTAGTTCAACTTATTTGTTTGATTTCTTTAGGGAAAATTTTAAGATTTCCTTAGGCAGACGGCTAGTTTTATAAACCTAATTCTGACAAAACCTCGACTATTGTTGAGAAAATTTTTGTATAATTGAATAGAGAATTTCTTTAGAATATGTTAGAACGTCCTTTCTGATAAATTTTCGAAAAGAGTTTGAGACTTAGTGTTTGCTCAAAATTTTGAATACTTTAAAACACTGCGATATAAATCACCCGAATCTTGATCATCAATCTCCATGCCTCCTTCCAATCATGCTGCTATATACCTTGGAGATAATTTATTAAGAAACCTTGAGATGGCTCATGAATCCATCTATTTATATTCCGGTAGATCCCACAGTTATGAGACTCTACAACCAGATGCAAATCAGTAACTATGAATATACAAAGTTGTCAATTTTATAAATGGCTATTACTAAATGTACTAAAGTTTCTAATTCTCTCAATCAATGGACTATAAATGCCTCACTCCAGCTAGGTAGACTAGAATATAAGTTAAACTAGGATATGAAGCATGCATCTTCTAATATGTTTATAGATAATATAAAGCATTTGTATAATCTTCGAGCCATTCCTCCCTTTCTGAAGGGATTGACCAATGGCGCAAAATATAGAGATGAGGCTCTAATTTAAAGTAGAAGAATATCTTCAGGAAAGTTTGACAGTTTATCTCCAATTTTGCACAAACAGTTTGTTACTTTTCCTTACTGGCATATGGTATCAATAAGAGGTTTGCTAAGGCTAAGGTTTTAAATCTGGGAAATCTCCAATTATGTTAACAAAACCTAAATGTCATTTTAGGATTCATTATAAAAAGTTTAGTCTCAAAGTAGAGTTTATCCTTCTTCTACTACAAAGAGGATATGCGCATGCTAATATATGTTAAAGGTTTTTTTTATTTAGGATTTTATGGGGTTTTGGGGTTTTGGGGTTTTGGGGTTTTGGGGTTTTGGGG